TTGCCCCTGCTTCCGGTCTTGGTGACTATATCGATTAACCACATGTATCTTTCCTGTGCCGAGCCCCAAAATTTATCTTTCCCGTACACATTTGTTCCACTGAATCAATGATCTGTGAGGCTCTGTGAACGGTGTGTTACAGACGCCCAGAGCTTAGAGACGTAGTGTATGAGGTCAAGTTTATACTTTGAACTTGTGAGTAAGTGAGTAACACTCTGTTATTTCAGGGTGGTTTCTACTGTTTGACATTTTATTTTATCTTGTATGCCCACACCACTGACTGCTTGTTTCTTATGAATAAAGACACCCTATGTATTTTACATCTCTATTTGATTCCATATGCCCATATAACATCTTTAGTACGCTCAGAGTCGCTTGCAATATTCATTATATATATACGGGGGACGTAAAGCGTTGAATTTTGTCAATGTATACACCATAAAATCGTTTTATTTGCATTTCGATGATTTAGTGGAAGATTGTATTGATATAATGTGAACGACTCAAGCTTTCATTCTTTTAAAAGATTCCTGTCATTAGTAAATAGCACCCTCACTCAACAATGATTAGAATGAGTGGTTGTTTGGTCAAAAGTTTGATGAGTCAGGTGTATCTATTGGCTGAGCTTTTTGTATATGCAAATGAGTATAGGAACCATTAATGCTGTAGGGTGTACTGGAAGGGGTGGAAGATTTCATGTTTGTAATGACTGGTTGTAATGTGCTATCCCGTTGTTTTCAGGATGCAGTCTGATATTTGTTGCTTTGTTGGTTGTTCAATTATGGCTAAAATGTGTGTGGTGGGTGTTTATTGTTAGTTCAGTCATTGTTTAGACACCCTGCAGCTTGAAATGGTATGGTCCAAATTCAAATTCGATAAGGCGGTGTTTAATATCTGTGCGATATGGTGGTGTCGTCTAAAAACATGGCATCAAAATGATTTCTGTTTATTTTTTTACTGTTGTAGACCCTGAGAACTAGCCACTCAAAAATATGATGAAGTGAGGTCTGCGGTTCTTTTTTTTTTTAATTTTTTTATTTGTGTGTATTTTTACAGACTGCAAACAATTACACAATCACAGTGCAAGGCCAGTTCACAAACATGTATATTCTCTTGCTTGAGTGTAAAAGTACATGGTTTAGTGACGACCTCTTATGTTTTTAAATTTTAGAATTTCCTTTATTTAGGAAAGTTCTTCTATAAAAATAGAACAGATATATATATATAATTTTGACTATTTTCTATAAGATAAATATATATATATTTATATGCGTGGATAGAATAGTTACGATTGGAAAATAATGTTAACATAAAGCTCCTAATACGAAACAGTTCAGTAGAGTTTCAATATATTCCTCTATCAACGTGTATACATAGCCGACAGATATGCAAATTAACCACTGATTAAAATCTGACGATATAATGCATTTGTTTTTTGTCTGTATGTGTATTAGGGTTTGCATTGCTTATGAATATGAATATAGACACTACATAGGTTCATAAAGTTACATTCGGTAATCACAAAAAAGTGAATTACAATTGAATGTGTGACCTTTACTTATTTCAATAAAAATTTAATTTATTTTTACTGCACATGAGGATGCTTCATATGGGAGCTACTTGTGTGTACAGCTTGGGTGTGGATGCACTGTCAGTGACCCTGACCCTAATATACATTGTATTGGTTGTAATTTGTCTTCATCCACATGGCCACACTGACCGTGCACCGACATTGAGGACCAATGGTGAAATACCGTCTAAATGGCTTGAGTGGTTGCAACTTTTCATTACTTGGTATTCGACAAGCGATGTGCTTGGTTCGGTACAACTCCACCAGTCCGTTGTTACAGGCCGCTATCATTATAACGTTGGTTACTTTTTTTGTATTTAAACATTGTTCTTATTTCGTTTCAATAATATGAACATACAACACAAAATATTACATTACATAGTGGTATATGGGGGAAAAAGATAAGAGAAAGAGGAGAAGGAGAAGGAGAGAAAAGTAAATAAATACATATTTGATCTGGTATAACAGCTACATTTGCCCACTATCTAGACAATTATCAAGTGGTTCCCATTTCTGATAATGTATGAGCTCTTTTTTTTTGTTTATTGTGATTTGTAGTTCAATATTTCTATTTTCTCTGATCCAAATTGTATATGCGTATTTCGTTAGATGAACGTTTTGAACCTTGCAGGTATAATAATTAAATAATAAAATAAAATGATTTAATAATATATTTTTAATTTCACATAGATCTATAATTATATTTTTGATATTACAAACAATATTAGCAATGAGCAATACGAACTTTGCAGCTGTCTCCACAGTCTCTTTACATCATTAAAGTTAATAGGTGTTATAATGTTTTTTTTTCTTTTCCACAGAAAGAACAAGGGGGAGATTTTCCTTAGTTTTTAGAACTCTTTATAGAACTTTGTATTAAAATGCTCTATGATCTGTGGAGATTGTTGTCTTGAAAGGTAGTTTTAAAATTACTTTTGTTTTATTCCATACAAATGTTGGAAGTCTTTGGCAATATTTGGCTCTTTAATAATGTTTTTACACAAAGATGTATACACCTGTTTGCTTGTCAGTGTATTGCAAAGTATTTAGAATTCCATTTGACTTTGTTTTGATAATTTTACCATTCATGGGTATTAGCATGAATATTCTCTCTCCAGTCATCTGGTATTGCAGAGATTAGGCCTTGTATAGTATGGTATTCTGACAAAGTGATACCTTTTTTCTTCCATTATTGCCAGTCGTGAAAGTTTCCATGGAAATGAATTAAGTCTATTATTCTTAATACTTTTTTTCTTGCCAAACTTTTCAGATAGATTGTACGATAGTCATTTTTTAGAAATCTATTGTTCCATAATATTTGTTTATTTATCAATTTCAGATTTTGGAGTGTATGATGTCAAAGATGACCATTCCCGGATAATATCA